TCTCTCTCTCTGTCTCTCTCTCTCTCTCTCTCACGGCCATCGGACGAGTTTGCGACCAAGCCGAGCAAGCAGCACAAAGGTTGTATATATATATATATATATACATACATATACATACCTATATATATATATACATATATATATATAGGGTACCTCATTCCCTCATTCCCTACGTACCAACAGTAAATTTTACGGCCCCCTAAGACTCTAAAACCCTAAAGCTCTAACCCCTAAACCCTAAAGGGCCCTAGAGGCCCTAAAGGCCCTAAAGACCCTAAAGGCCCTAAAGGCCCTAAAGGCCCTAAAGGCCCTAAAGGCCCTAGAGGCCCTAAACGCCTTAAACGCCTTAAATCCCAAAGCCTTAAAAATCCCTACTGTCTGTTAGGTGGTTGCGGCAGTTTGCTTTGTAGCCATCAAGGAAGCCTTGCGGGTGTTTCTGGTTGTAGAAGCCCCTAAGCCCTCAACCCCCAAAACCCTAGACGCTAAACCCTAAAGTCCTAAGCCCTAAACTGTAAACCCTAAGTCCTAAGCCCTAAACTGTAAACCCTAAGCCCTAAGCCAAAAGCTCTAAACCCTATAAACCCTAAACCCTAAACCCTAAACCCCTAAACCCTAAACCCTAAACCCTAAACCCTAAACCCCTAAACCCTAAACCCTAAACCCTAAACCCCTAAACCCTAAACCCTAAACCCTAAACCCTAAACCCTAAACCCCCAAAGCTCGCTCCAAGCAGGCGTGGAGCCCAAGACGGCCCTCTGGCGCCTGCGATGCGGCGCGGCCGCCTCGAGCCCGAAAGCCATGGCGCGCCTTCCCGCGCACAGGCGTTCTTTTGTTTTGGGCTGGGTTTTACGGGGGGGTTTAGGGTTTAGGGTTTTGTTTTGGCTGTTTATTTTGTTTTTTTTTGTGTTTTTGGGAGGGGGGGGGGGGGGGGGGGGGTTTGGTTTAGGGGGGGGGGGTTTAGGGTTCAGGAGGTTAGGGGTCAGGGTTTGGGGGGGTTTAGGGGGTTTAGGATTTTGGGTTTGGGGGGTTTGGGGTTTGGGGCTTTTGGGGGCGTGCGCGCGTGTGGCGTGTTTGTTTTTTGGTTTTGTGCAGAGATACCTCCCTAGAGCTGAAGCAATGGCTAGCACGCTTTAGGGTTTTTATGGACACAGTTTAGGGTTTAGGGCTTAGGGTTGATAGGGATTAGAGGAATGGCTTGCGTTCGTCACGGCATCCTGATAGCAGCCCTGCAGGGCCCGGAACGCGGAGACGCGATGCAAGGGAGTGCATCTACAAGCGACCGACGCGGAGCGCGTGTACAACATCCTCCAGTGGTACGGAACCGTCCCTGGGTCATTGTTGAGAATCATCTTACATTCTTACGAATACTTAAAACCCAACAAGGAACAAAGAAGGGTCATTTTTTAAATGGTGCCCCTTACATTCTTCTGAATACTTAAAACCCAATAAGGAACCCAACAGGGTCCTTTTTTAAAATGGTACCCGCCCCAACAATGGTGCAGGTACTGGTGGACATGCGCCCCGGCGACGTGCCGCGCTTGGCCGAGAGCCTGGTCTGCCCCGACGCGCCGGCGCTCGCCAAATTGCCCCTGCGCGAGGATGCGCTGGTCATCGGATCCCTCCCGGCGGAGGCTGAGGCCGTGCCTTGGGCCTTGGCAAAGAGTCACGGATTCTTATAATGGTTTTTTCAAGTAGGGAGACAGCAAGAGACCGAGCTGTAGGCAGAACCGGTCGTAGTTCTTGCAGCATCTCGACTCGACCCCGAGCCCTCCCTGGAACAACAAAGCGGACCCCAAAAGCGCATCGTCCCCCCCCTCAGCTCCCGAGGTGCTCCGCGGGCGTGTTCTGAAGTGCGTGTACACCGTCGACCCGGGGGTGGTGGAGCCGCTGCTCCGCAGCTTCGCCGCGCTGGGCGCGCCGCCCGCCCAGAAGCGCGGCGTGCTGCCCAACGTGATCGGGCGGCTGGCGGTCGGGCACCAGGGGCACGCAGCGAAGCTGGCCGAGTGGGCCAGGCACCTGAGCATCGTTGGGGTGATCAACCTCGCACCCAATGTGGTTGTTAGCCTGCCGGACGCCATCCCGGACAGCTCCTTCTACCACGAGGTCTGGCACCCTGACGCAGGGCCCTTGCGGGACACCGCGGACGACGGCCGCCGGCTTTGGGACGTGCTGCCGGCGACGCTGGAGGCTGTGGACAGCGCCCTGGAGGCCAACCCGCTGGGGCGGGTCTTCATCCACTGCCAACAGGGGCGATCTCGGGCAGCCTCCATTGCAGCCGCCCATCTCCTGAAGCATCATTGCAGCTGGACGCTCTTGGACGCAGTGGCTTGCCTGGCTTTGCGACGACCCGAGACGGAGATCAACGAATCCTATGCTCAGGTGCTGGAGGACTTCGCGAAGTCCCTGGGCAGGGCGCCGTCCCTGGATCAGCTCCGCCAGGAGCTTCCCATGCACCTGCGCGGGGGCGGCGTGGCGCGAGACTGGCGGGACAGGATGTTGGACGAATGAGGAGTCATGCGAAACGGGCGGGGGGGTGGGGGGGGGGGGAATGAGGGCTAGCACGACCCCTTGACAAAGCCATTACAGAGGCTCCATTGAATACTGGCACTCTACTCCCTATCAAAAGAGATCGGGTGGTTAGCTGGGTTTCTAGGTTTTGACTCCACTTTCTTGCATGGACCCTGCCAGGCCGCCCAGACGAAGTCCTCATCTACACCGGATCGGAGAATGCAGCATAGGGTTTAGGGTTTAGGGTTTAGGGTTTGGGGTTTAGGGTTTAGGGTTTAGGGTGTAGGGTTTAGGGTTTGGGGTTTAGGGTTTAGGGCATGGGAGCTCGACTCAGTTAGACTTGAACACTACGGACATAGCAGCTCAGACCGTGACGCTGTCGATTGGTTGGGCCAGAACCACAACTTTGAGCGGTGCAAAGGTCCTGCTGCTGACTACTTCAAGCGCAAGGGGGTCTGGTGGGGGTGTTTTTTGGACAGCAACGGTTTCCAGGAACCGATGCCATCTTGTTGTTCCTGGCGATGAGTTCACGTCTCAAACATTCCAGATGCAGGGCGCAAGTCGGACGGCTGTGCTGACTGCTTCATGATCCCCACGGCGGCCTCAGTCAGGTTTGCTGGCGACAGTCACACTCTGGCCATTCGATCGATGCCGGCAGACTTCTCCAACAGCAGCACACGCGTGTTTGTTATTTCAATGGACGGGTCGCTCGTGGTCCGGGCTAGTGGCAAACATCTCGCCCCCACACCGAACACCTCAAGGGACTTTACCTTGGACCCCTGAGGTATTCCTTGGGTTTTTGATTAAGGGAGCCCTTTGAAGGGGTACAACCGTAGGGGGCATCTTGGGGTTAGCTACCCCACACGATGGCCTACACCGACCCTTCCCGTAAGAACGGGGGGGGGGGGGGGGAAGCAATTTTTCGCACAATTGCTGGCTGTTGAGGTGTATCATGGATATATTGGATATGCAAGGACCCTGGGACCCAGATGCCTGCCACATACCCATGACTATTCAGGACTGTTAGTATAAGGGGGAACATCCCAACTCATGACCATGCATTCAATGTATTCCTGGGGCCTCCTTTCTCTTGCAGCTTTTGCTCTTCGTTGCTGTGCAAGTCTTCCGTGCGCCCCCCCGCAGTTTGCGGCCCGAGATGGACAGGAGGGTTCATGCCGCGCAAGACCCACCCGATAGCCAAGTCGCCCAGCTGCGCTGGACGTCTTAAGCCGCAGACCCTGCAGGTCCCGAGATAGCCCCAAACTGAGCCCAGTCAACCTCACAACACACCAGCTCCCACACACATGTCTAAGCCGCAAAAAAAAGAGCCTTGCAAGCCCCTTATCTGGGAGAGTTTGAGGTCTCAGGGTTTCAGGGTTGCTGGTGCTCAGAGTCTATCAAAAGCCGTAGGGGGAGCTTGAGCCAGCGACCTTTCCGGATGGACAAATCTTTAGACAAGGCGCGCTCCAAGGGTTGAGGGTTTTGTCTAGGGGGGGGAGTGTTTGTAGTACACTGATAAAGGCACCATGAGGGAACACTCTTAGTAATGATTCCGACCCCTGTCTTAGGCGCATGTTTTTGGGCTCGGAGTTCTTGGCCCGCCCCCCCCCCCCCCCCCACCCTGACTGCGTGTCGAGTCTGAGCAGGCATGCAACCCTCTAAACCCTAAACCCTAAACCCTAGACCCTAAACCCTAAACCCTAAACCCTAAACCCTAAACCCTAAACCCTAAACCCTAAACCCTAAACCCTAAACCCTAAACCCTAAACCCTAAACACTGCATCCCGGACTGCTTCGCTTAAATCCTCTAACCCCCAAACCCTAAGACCCGAGCCCGCTTTACCCCCTTAAAGCTTGGGGGCGGCGGCTTGGAGCACGACTTAGAATGAAAGCCCTAAACCCTGAACCCTAAACCCTGAACCCTAAACCCTAAACCCTAAACCCTAAGCCCTAAGCCCTAAGCCCTAAGCCCTAAGCCCTAAGCCCTAAGCCCTAAGCCTGAAACCCTAAGCCACAAGCCCGAAACCCTAAACCCCCATAGAGGTCGTCCGGATTCCGGTTGTCAGTTGTTTGCGCATGTCGGTCTTAGGGTTTAGGGTTTAGGGTTCAGGGTTTAGGGTTCAGGGTTTAGGGTTTAGGGTTTAGGGTTTAGGGTTTAGGGTTTAGGGTTCAGGGTTTCGGGTTTAGTAGGGTTTATAAGCCTTTCTCTCTCGGCATCTGGGAAAGCCCTCTGGGATACTTAGGATCTCATGTGGGAATGTGTTCGGAAGTTAGCGTTGGCCGACCTAGACATAGAGCCCCAAACACTGAACCGTGAAAGCTTTAAACCCTAAACCCTAAACCCTAAACCCTAAACCCTAAACCCTAAACCCTAAACCCTAAACCCTAAACCCTAAACCCGAAGCCCTAAATAATTCCCTTGCTAAGGGCCCTTTGAACATCAAGCTTCGAAGCTTTCCGCTCTTCCTCACCCCCCCCCGCCTCCCCCCCACAAAAGGCACGTGGAGACTCCAGATCTCCTTGAAACCACCCTCAACCTCCCTGAAAAGTAAATAGGATTTAGGGTTTAGGGTTAGGGTTTAGGGTTTAGGGCTTAGGGTTTAGGGTTTAGGGTTTAGGGTTAGGGTTTAGGGTTTAGGGTTTAGGGTTTGGGGTTTGGGGTTTGGGGTTTAGGGTTTAGGGTTTAGGGTTTAGGGTTTAGGCCGACCCCCCAGTCCTAAGCCTCGAGCCCGAAACCCAAAAACCTCCAACGCTAAGCCTTAGATCCTCAGCCCCAAGCCCTGAACCTCAAATCCTCAGCCCCAAGCCCTGAACCCTAAATCCTGAGCCCTAAACCCTAAACCCTAAACCCTAAACCCTAAACCCTAAACCCTAAACCCTAAACCCTAAACCCTAAACCCTAAACCCTAAACCCTAAAACCCTAAAACCCTAAAACCCTAAAACCCTAAAACCCTAAAACCCTAAAACCCTAAAACCCTAGAATCCTAAATCCTAAACCCTAAAACCCTAAACCCTAAACCCATCACGCAGATGGAATGAGCTCATGGGTTGCCTCGAGCACCCCAGTGGCCTCCGCCCCAGGATTCAAGGTTTTTGGCTTCCGGGGTTTCGGATTTAGGGTTAAAATTTGGGGGGGGGGGGGGGGGGGGGGGTTGAGACTTCGTGTTGAGGGTTTAAGGTTTTAGAGAGGGTGCTGGTTTCGGGGTTCGGGTTTCGGGTTTTTGCAGGGGGTTGAGTCCCAAACCGTAAGGGCGAAACCCCGAACCCTTAGTCATCTTTTGTTTGTTGGGGGCCTTGTGTTGATAAACTTTTTAAGACCTGATCATGGTTTCGGAACGTAGGGTTGTCGGCCTTTCTAAATTTGCTAAATGACTAAACTCGGGGGGGGGGGGGGGGGGGGAGAGTCTTTAGATCTTTAGGGGTTTGAGATTATTTTGTTTCTCGTTGTTTTGGGTTTCTTCTTCGTGGTTTAGTGGGGGTTAGAGGTTTCATGTGAGGGGGCTTTGGTGGCAAGGTGTCGGCTTTAATGGGCGCCTTAGATCAGCTAACCCGAAACCCTAAACCCTAAACCCCAAACCCCAAACCCCAAACCCTAAACCCTAAACCCCAAACCCCAAACCCTAAACCCTAAACCCTAAACCCTAAACCCTAAACCCTAAACCCTAAACCCCAAACCCCAAACCCCAAACCCTAAACCCATGTGCAGGGGCGCCTCGGGCCTCTTCGTCTGGCCCTTTCTGGCTCGAGCCTACCTGTTTCTAGGGCCACCTCCAAGCTCCCACCTCCAAAATTACCCGGGTTTAGGGTTTAGGGTTTAGGGTTTAGGGTTTAGGGTTTAGGGTTTGCCCTCCCCCTCCCTCCCACCAAAATCGAGCGCCCACACCAGTGCTCCTGCTTCTCGCCATGCCGGCGAAACTCCACACGCTCAAGGCGAAGATCGTTGGGGAGAAGCCGGAGTGCTTCCCCTTCCGCTGCCAGTTGTGTCGGGGCTGCGCTTTTTGGAATTCAAAAGACCCGAAGCCCTAAACTCTAAGAGCCCTGAACCCTAAAAACCTAAACCCTACAAAACGCCTAACCCCAAGCCCGAAATCCTAAACCCTAAACTCTACAACGCCTTGAGCCCTTTTCTTTCTCACCCGAAACCCTAAACCCCTAAACCCTAAACAGCCTTGAGCCCTTAACCGAAGGAGCCACCAAGCCCCGAAAGACCCTGAAGCACGATCCCCTCCACATCAGGCCCCCGAAACCTCTGCCAACAAAAAAACATCACTCAAGAGACGCCTAAAACCTTCAACCCTCCACCCTCAACCCCCTAAACCCTAAACCCTAAACCCTAAACCCTAAACCCTAAACCCTAAACCCTAAACCCTAAACCCTAAACCCTAAACCCTAAACCCTCGACCCTAAACCCTAAACCCTAAACCTTAAACCCTCAACCCACCCCTCCAGGAAGCTGGTCAACCACGACGGGGCCGTCGCCCCGGGCGATGTCGTCACCTTCCCCGAGTTCTTCTCGGGCGCTGGAGAGTTTGAGGCCTGAAGATCCCGTTTAGGGTTTAGGGTCTAGGGTTCAGGGTTTAGGGTTTAGGGTTCAGGGTTTAGGGTTTAGGGTTTGGGGTTTAGGGTTTAGGGTTTAGGGTCCCGTTTCGGCAGAGGAGGAGGGGTGTTGGGGTTGCAGGGGTTTCGGGTTTAGGGCTTAGGGATTGGAACTTTCCCCCCCCCAAAAGAGGGTGTGGGGTTAGGGTTAGGGTTTAGAGTTTAGGGTTTAGGGTTTAGGGTTTGGGTGTCTGGGATCCGTTTAGATAGTGCAATCCTGTTTATTTGGAGGGCCCCCACAAAGGGTACCCTATGTTCACCCCATGTGTCTTGTCGAGGCCCCCGGTCAACTTGACGCGATCATCCCCTCCAAACCTCCACAGCCCTAAACCCCTAAACCCTCAACCCTAAACCCTAAACCCTAAACCCTAAACCTCAACCCTAAACTCTAAACCCTAAACCCTAAACCCTAAACCCTAAACCCGGCGTTTAGGGTTGAGGCCTTTTGGGTGCAGGGTCGGGATAAACCCCACCAAAGCCCTGAACCCAGGACTCTAAACCCTAGCCCTAAACCCTAAACCCTAAACCCTAAACCCTAAACCCTAAACCCTAAATCCTAAACCCTAGACCCTAAACCCTAAGCCGCAAACCCTCCAAAGTTTTGACCTCGGACCCCTATACCCAAAGCCCAAATTTGGGGTTTAGGGTTTAGGGTTTGGTGCTTCGGGTTTTGGGCTAGCCAGCGCCCTCCTTGCCAAGGGCATCTACTTCGCAGCAGCTCCCGCAGAGGGGGGTGAAGGCGCTTTGGACCTACTCCTTGGCGACGTGGAGTACTTGTGCCTCAGGCTACAAGTCTGGGGGCCTTCAAGGGATTTAGGGTTTAGGGTTTAGGGCTTAGGGTTTCGTGTGCGGGTCGAGGTGTATAGCAGAAGGTGCCTGCTGAAATGGGAAAGGGGGGGGCAGTTTATACCGCAATCATGCAGGGAACATAGGCAAGGCAACTGGTACCAGAAATTGATAAAGACATGAACCCCAAATCCAACGCCTCTGTACTTTGGCTTCTTGAATACTTGGCGGCCCAGTGGTACCCCTTTTGCTTCTAGGTGAACTTATGAAAGCAACCATTTCCCACAAGGGCACCCTCAGCATCGTGGTCACTTCTCTAAATTATGGTCCTTGTTTTGGCTGCACGAAATCTTAATGGCAACGGCCACCTGTACTAGTAACCTATAGATACTAACCCTCAGGGGGGCCATCGTTTCGAGGACTCACCATGTGGTTACTGGGCTACCACCTAAGAATTTTTCAACATACCCCCAACCCATGCCCCTGAACCTTTAAAAGGAGAAAAAAGGAAAGCTTTTTACCATACCCCTTTTTTATTTTTAGGGTATTCACAAGGGATATGTTTACCGGGTTCTTATGGCAGGGGGTTCAAGGTGTGTATGTAGCCCAAGGCTCCCTAATACTTCCCGCTACTGCCTGAAGCTCCCTAAGCCTCCCTAAGGTTTCCTAGGTCCCCACCCCTCATGAACCCCCTTAAACCCTAAACCCGAAACCCTAAACCTAAACCCTAAACCCGAAACCCGAAACCCTAAACCCTAAACCCTAAACCTCCCTCAAGGACCTTACTATATGTTGGATGAAAGGTGCTTCCCCAAGCAGATGGTGGACCTGGTGGGCGGCGCCGACAAGCTACTTCAGCCTCCTTAGGAGCTATGTCTTTAGGGTTTATAGGGTTTATGGGGTTTATAGGGTTTTATAGGGTTTTACAGGGTTTTACAGGGTTTTTCAGGGTTTAGAGGGTTTATAGGGTTTTTTAGGGTTTACAGGGTTTACAGGGTTTACCGGGTTTATAGGATTCGAAGGGTTTGTAGGGTTTACAGGGTTTAGATTCTTTCGTCTAGGCTTTAGGGTAATAGTGTTTGCTGACGCAGACCCCAAGAGAGTACTCAGCAGACATCAAGTTGATTCGGGTTCAGCGGGGAGTTGGGTAAAGCCCCCTGAGACCTAAAAAAACTCAAACCCGAAGCCCTAAACCCCAAACCCAAAACTGTAGACCCTAAACCCTAAACCCTAAACCCTAAACCGTAAACCCTAAACCCTAAACCCTAAACCCTAAGCCCTAAACCCTAAACCCTAAATCCTAAACCCTACAACCTTCTCAGGCTAGAGGAGCACTTCCGCCCGGCCCTGATGTCGGCCGACCTCGGGGGAATGACACTCGCTGACATGGAGGAGGATCCCCGGCCTTTTTGGGGTTTAGGGTTTAGGGTTTAGGGTTTAGGGTTTAGGGTTTAGGGTTTAGGGTTTAGGGTTTAGGGGCTCTTCAACATCGTCTTTGGCCTGACTTGGAGGTTCATGGGTACTTCATACTCTAATTATAAAGTCTACTGATAACCTACTTAGGGGACTTAGGGGCCTTCTAAGTAGGGTTTAGGGTTTAGGGTTTAGGGTTTAGGATTTGTTATCATGGGGTTATAAGTACCCCTGATCCTCCAAGTAGGCCGCCCTCAACTCCTGAGCCCAGCGGCGAGTCTGTTCCGGGCGTTTAGTGCTTAGGGTTTAGGGTTTAGGGTGTTGGGTTTTGGGGTTTAGGGTTTAGGGCTCCCGACCTCTGTCGCCTGCAATGGGGCTGTTGTGGCCGTGCTTTTGGACGCCCTAAGCCCTAAGCCCGAAACCCAGACCCTGCCGGCAGCATCCTTTCGAGAGGTGAAACCCTAAGCCCCAAACCCTAAACCCTAAACCCTAAACCTAAACCCTAAACCCTAAACCCTAAACCCTAAACCCCAAACCCCAAACCCTAAACCCTAAACCCTACACCCTGAGGACATGGGAGGCAAGGCCGATTACTGGAAAGAGGTTGCGACCAAGGATGATGCGGGGAAGAAGGATGGCCAGCCCACCACCGAGATCATTTATGAGGTCGAGAAGAAAAGAAAGGGGTCGGATTAATTGGGGTTTAGGGTTTAGGGTTTAGGGTTCAGGGTTTAGGAATAAAAGCTAACATTCCCTTATGGTCCCTCTGAAATCATACCCTGTTTTAGCCTGCCTAGCGCTTCGCACCCCTCCGCGGCACGTTTTCCATCGGTTTCCCCTGGGTTGCCGTAGCCGCTGAATTGTTTCGAGCTACGTCCGAGCACACCACGCTGCTCCTCGAGTGCTGCCGGAATGAGCAAAAAAAAGTGTTGAAGCCCGAGCCCCGAAGCCCCAAACCCTAAACCCTAGACCCTCAACCCTCAACCCTCAACCCTAAACCCTAAACCCTAACCCTAAACCCTAAACCCTAAACCCTCAACCCTAAACCCTAAACCCTAAACCCTAAACCCTAAACCCTAAACCCTAAACCCTAAACCCTGAACAGAAACTCCAACCCTTGAGCTACTTATTCCCCAAAACCACTAAAGAAGCCCTCCAAAATCCCCACATGAACCCTCAACCCCAAACCCCAACTGCCAAAGCCTAAAGCCGCAGGGTTTAGGGTTTAGGGTTTAGGGCTTAGGGTTTAGGGTCTAGGGTCTAGGGTTTCAGGTCCAAGTGCCCCCCGAAGTCACGACGCAAAGCTCCGGGGGCGCTTGTGGCATTCATTACCAGGGGCTCATTGCTTTCGATGGGCTTTTTGGGGATTGAGATCCCTAACCCGGAAAACCCTAAACCCTAAACCCTAAATCCGAAACCCTGAACCCTGAACCCTAAACCCTAAACCCTAAACCCTAAACCCTAAACCCTAAACCCTAAAACCCGCTACCCTCTCCCAAACCCGACTTCCAAGCACAAAGAAAGTACTGTCAGTGGCACACCGCAAGCCCGAAACCCAGCTTTGGACATGGGAGGCTCCTTTGAAGTCCCCTAGGGTTTAGGGTTTAGGGTTTAGGGTCTAAGGTTTCCCTAAACCCTGCGCCGTAAACCCCAAACCCAAACCCTAAACCCTAAAGGTTTAGCTTCAACCCCAAAAGCCCTCTACAGCCTCTGTCATCTTGGCTTGCCTTTGCGAGGTTCCCATGGAAATTTTGTCCGCGGGCCTGGTTCCGGATTTCGGATTTGCGTTGAGGGCTTTGGGGCTAAACCCTAGCCCTAAACCCTAAACCCTAAACCCTAAACCCTAAACCCTAAACCCTAAACCCTAAACCCTAAACCCTAAACCCTAAACCCTAAACCCTAAACCCTAAACCCTAAACCCTAAACCCTAAACCCTAAACCCTAAACCCTAAAACCTAAACCCTAAACCCTAAACCCTAAACCCCAAACCTTCAATCCTAAACCCTAAACCCTAAGCCCTAAGCCCTAAACCCTAAACCCTGCAGTTGTTGGTTCTCGGGGTTAAGGGGGGACGGCTAGGTTCGGTTCTATGGTTTTTTGGGGGGCTTTCGGGGGTTGAGGGTTCGAGGTGGTCCGGCTTGAGGGTGTTTTAGGGGTTGAGGTTTTGTTTTGTGTTTTTCGTATTATGATTACGTTTTTTTTTTTTTTTTTTTGGGGGGGGGGGGGGGGGGGTGGGGGTAGGGTTTAGGGTTTAGGGGTTGGGGTTTAGGGCTTTTAGGGGTTAGGAGTTCGGGGTTAGTGGCCCTGGGAACGTTCTTTCATCTTCCCTTATTGGGTTTAAGAGGATCAATTTTTGGGAATGCTTTTCTCGCGGTTTAAAGGGCCATCAAATCCCATGCCGCGAAAAACCCTAAACTAAACCCTAAGGCCCCACAACCCACAAACCCCAAACCCCAAACCCCAAACCCCACACCCTGCACCCTAAACCCTAAACCCGAAGCCCTAAACGAAGCCGAAGACCAAAGCCACGCGAAACATGGCGAAGCCATAGTCCTAGGGTTCAGGGTTTGGTGTTCAGGGTTTGGTGTTTAGGGTTTGGGGTTTAGGGTTTGGGGTTCAGGGTTTAGGGTTTAGGGTTTAGGGTTTAGGGGTTTAGGGATTTAGGGACTTAGGGTCCGATCTCGGGTTTGGGGATTAGGGTTTGGGGTTTAGGATTCAGGGTTTAGGATTCAGGGTTTAGGATTCAGAATCGCAGCACTGCATGGGTTGTCAGCCTTCTCCGTACCTACGTCATCAAGGAACCAGCCTATGACAAGGCCGCACAACTACCAGCCAGATCCCCGCAGAGACGTATGCGTCATGGCGTACGACATCGAACTGCAAACGAGACCCAGACCGGGGTGGAAGTGGCAACCTATCGGTGCAGCGCCCTACATGTGTACAGTGGTATGCTCATGCGGATATTGCCTCGCAGTGGGGGTGTCAGACGATGACTCGGATGAAGGCCAGATGAGTTGTGCAACGGAAATGGCCAGAAATGTAGGTTATGCTTGGCTAAGGACGGGGTTTAGGGTTTAGGCTCAGGGTTTAAGGTTTAGGACCCCAAGAAGGTGCCCCTAATTTCAGAAACCCCCGCCCGAGTCTGCCCTAAACCCCAAACCCTAAACCTTACCTTCGGCGGGGTAGGGCTAGAACCATAAACCCTAAACCCCTAAAGCTCTCGCGCCTTGAATCCTGAAACCCTGAAACCCCACAACCCCAAACTCTGAAGCCCAAAACTCTAAAGGGTTTAGGGTTTAGGGTTTAGGCTTTGGGCTCAGGGTTTGGGCTTGGGCTTAGGGTGTGTTAAGGGTTCAGTGAGTAAACCCTGAGACCCCTACTAACCCAGGTCACCACAGCAGACCTCTACCGAACACGTCCGTGGCTGGGCTGTCACGTCTTCGGGGGTTTTGGGGCTTGGGGACCCTAGCCCTACACCCTAAACCTGAAACCCTTAACCCGAAACCCTAAAACCCTTGATCCTTTTTTTGGTTGTGGAAAGCTCTCGGGTAGAAGAAGGATGGTACTTCGGCTTTGAGTTTGGAGTCTGGGTTCCTTTGTTTGTTTTAATGGCCGACATTCGCTGAAGACTTAAGGGTTTGCAGTCTAAGCCCTAAACCCTAAACCCTAAACCCCAAACCCTAAACCCTAAACCCTAAACCCTAAACCCTAAACCCTAAACCCTAAACCCTAAACTTTCTACCTTGAACCAAAACCCGACACCGCGGTTCAGGCGAGTGTCAGCTTGGATCCTCTAAAACCTGTAGGCTTTCGGCTCAAAGGACCCTGCAACCGCACACTCTTCTGGAAACACGAGATCCTAGACCTTGAGCGATGTCGGGTTTAGGGTTTAGGGTTTAGGGTTTAGGGTTTAGGGTTTAGGGTTTAGGGTTTGGGGTTTGGGGTTTAGGGTTTAGGGTTTAGGGTTTAGGGTTTAGGGTTTAGGGCCACCCATAACCCCGTAAACCCTGAACCCTGAAACCCTCCCTCAATCCTTGAGGCGCTAAAGCCTGAAGCGGTTTAGGGTGTAGGGTTTAGGGTTTCAGCCACGACATCCTTCAAGCCATCAACCTGACACTTGACCCCCTTGACCCCCAAACTCGGAACCCGGAACCCAGGAACCCTACGCCCCGGCCCTAGAACCTGAAGCCCGACGAAGCCCGTAATGATTCACATCTTGAAGCCGTTTAAACCGTAGTCCCTACGATCTGAAACTTTCACACCCCCAACTCCAAAACTCTTAAAGCCCTGAAGCCCGCAAACCGCAAAGCCTAAAACGCCCTAAACGCCCTAAACGCCCTAAACGCCCTAAACGCCCTAAACGCCCTAAACGCCCTAAACGCCCTAAACGCCCTAAACCCCCTCTACCCTAAACCCTAAATCCTACACCCTAAACCCTAAACCCTAAATCCTGAACCCCAAACCCTAAACCCTAAACCAAAAACCCAAGGAAACGACACTTCGGAGAGCGGGTTCGCAGAGCTGCTTCGGGAGCCGACCACTTCTCATTGTATTGTCAAAGCTGTGTCTATGAAGGTTTAGGCTTTAGCGTTTAGGGTTTAAGGTTTAGGTTTTAGGGTTTAAGTTTAGGGTTTAGGGTTTAGGGTTTAGGGTTTAGGGTTTAGGGTTTAGGGTTTAGGGTTTAGGGTTTAGGGTTTAGGGTTTAGGGTTTAGAGAGGCTTTAGAGAGGGTTTAGAGAGGGTTTATTGGATTTTGGGTTTCGGTTTATAGGGTGTAGTGTTAGCGTTGGTTTTTTGGACAAGATGGGGGCTTCCGGGTTTTCGTGTCGTTGGGGTTGGGATAGTGTTTTGGTCTGGATTTTAGGCTTTTGGATTTCGAACCCCAAACCCTAAACCCTGAACCCCAAAAACAGGACCTATCCCTGACGCCGCCCCCAGCTCAGCCGCCGGGGCAGCCGGTGCAGCTCAGCGACACCCCCTCCCCGGTGCTGGACACCCGGGGCTCCGACAGCCGGGGGCGCCCAGAGGGGGTGTAGGGTTTAGGGTTTAGGGTTAGGGTTTAGGGTTTAGGGTTTAGGGTTTAGGGTTTTGGGTTTAGGGTCTGGGGTTTAGAGTGGTTTGTAAGGATTTGTGACTTGTGTTTGAGGGAATGAGACCCGTACCCCGTAAAGGTTCCCCTTAAGTTACTCCTAATATGGCCCTTATTACTTCCTTCTGGATCTCAAAAAGGGTCTCCAAAACCCAAAGGTACAACCTTAAGTGTTCAAGTACAACGCTAGATCAATGTCTTTGTCTTTGTCGGGATTTGCGGGATTTGGGGGGGGTTTAGGGGTTTCGGCCGGCATTTTTGGTTTAAGTGGTTAGAGGTTGAGGCTGGGGCGGCTTGGGTTCAGGTTCTTGTTTGGTCTTCTTTCTTACCCTCAACTAAACCCGAAACCCCGGAGGTTATCGAGTGCGCGAGGCCCTACAACTCCCTTCTGCCTGTGCTCCCGAGGCCCTAAACCCTAAACCCTAAACCCTAAAACCTAAACCCTAAACCTTATACCCTAAACCCTAAACCCTAAACCTTCACAGCAACCGCCTCAGATATTCGCCAATTCCCTCGGCAGCGCTCGAGCGGCGAGGCCACGCTCGTTTTCGGGGGCTGGACCCCTAAACCTGAAACCCTTTCCCGAAACCCTAAACCCTAAACCCAAA